ACAAGTATGAACTTGGTCTGGAAATAACTAAGTGAGAAGGATTAGCACTCAGCAGTGCTAATCAAAGAATCAGCCATATGTACCATGTGTTCAGTGCTCTGCAGCATCTTCATTAATGACTTGGATGCAGGACTTTCTGAAGGGATATTAAGCAGGTTTGCACTCAACTGGGAGGAGCTGCTGACGCTCTCCAAGTCAGAGAAGCCCTGCAGAGAGACCTTGATAAATTAGAGGGCTAGGAATCATCAACTGGATGAAGTTTAACAAGAGCAAGTGCCAGCCCTGCAGAGTTGATAAATTAGAGGGCTAGGAATCATCAACTGGATGAAGTTTAACAAGAGCAAGTGCCAGATTGTGCCCCTGGGGTGGGGCAGCCCTGGGTGTACAAACAGATTGGGGAATGAGAGACTGGAAAGTAGCTGTGGAAAGAGATCTGAGGGTCCTGGTTGATGGCAAGTTGGATATGAGACAACGGCGTGCCCTGGCAGCCAGGAGGGCCAACGGTGTCAGGAATCATCAACTGGATGAAGTTTAACAAGAGCAAGTGCCAGATTGTGCCCCTGGGGTGGGGCAGCCCTGGGTGTACAAACAGATTGGGGAATGAGAGACTGGAAAGTAGCTGTGGAAAGAGATCTGAGGGTCCTGGTTGATGGCAAGTTGGATATGAGACAACGGCGTGCCCTGGCAGCCAGGAGGGCCAACGGTGTCCTGGGGGGCATCAGGCAAGGCATTGCCAACTGGATGAGGGAGAGGATTGTCCTGCTCTACTCAGTGCTGGTGTGTTCTCACCTCGAGTGTTGTGTGCATTTTGGGGCACCACAATGTAAGAAAGATATTAAGCTATTAGAGAGTGTCCAAAGGAGGGAAATGAAGCTGGTGAAGGGCCTGGAGGGAAGCCACATGAGGAGAAGATGAGGTCACTTGGTCCCTTCATTCTGGAGAAGAGGACACTAAGGGGAGACTTCATAATGAGGGGAAGTGAAGGGACAGCACTGACCTCTTCTCTCCTTCAACCAGTGACAGGACCAAAGGGAATCGCCTCAGTTTGCACCAGGGGAGGTTTAGGCTGGAGATTAGAAAAGGATTCTTCACCCAGAGGGTGTTTGGGCCCTAGAATAACTCCCTAGGACAGTGGTCACGGCCCCAAACCTGACAGAGCTCAAGAAACACTTGGACAATGCTCTCAGGCACATGGTGAGATGTTGAGGTGTCCTGAGCAGGGCCAAAAGTTGGTCCTGATGATCCTTGTGAGTCCCTTCCAACTCTGAATCTTCTGTGATCAAACGTGATGTGATAGTGAGGAATGCTGCAGTTTCTGGCAGAGCCTTGTATGACCTCCATGTAATTCCTGTTATGAATTTGAATATGAACTAAGTGTAGTAATGAGGCCTCACACAGGATGTTGAGGCCTCAATCAGAACACTGAATTCCAAAGCACTTCATAAACACTCATTAATGTTTTCAATTTTCCAAAGTGTTGCAGGCTTTAAATACTAATAGTTTGAAACCTCCAGATTTAATAATATGCTCACTCAGAAGGTACATCAAGGCCTCTTCATTCTAGGGTCAGTTAAGGTGATGTTTCATAAGTTTGCTGAAAATTAAAACTATGAAACGAACCCTTCTAAAAAGAAGAATTTGGGGAGACATTCATAAGGCAAAATGTCTCCAGAGTTGCTGCTGTAGAACCTGAGATGAAAATCCAACAAAGCTGCTGGTGAGAGATCCCCACCAATACCCCAAGGAAGAACACAGAGGTCATTATGATGCTGAGGAGCTCTGACCCTTTGGCACACCAAAGCAATGCCTATTGCTTTGTCCCCTACTCGTCACGCGGCAGACGCAAGAGCCAAACCAAGGGAGCAGCTACAAGGCAATTGCACCACAGGTAATGATCTAAATATCTCCCTAGATTATTCCTATCCATCCAGCCACGAGGAATTTCATCCAATTTTATTAGAAATACACTGAGCCTGTTTCATCCTGGCTTAATATTGCAGAAATTCAGGAGGGATTATGTAGGTGCCACAATGCCGAAGTTGGAAAATATGTAAATCATCGACTCCAGTTACGTCAATTGGAGGAACGAATTTTCTGATGAGATATGTTGTAAACTCTGAGGCTGGAGAGGATGTATACATATAGACAGACCTCCAGCTCTGAAACTGTTCAATCCTCTCATCTCCTCCTCTTGGTGCACCTGGTAAGTCAATACTGACCTTACTCTCCTGTCTATGTCTTTGTTTACATTGTGTGTGTGTGTGGAGACAGAAATATATACACTAGGACTGGTGTTTCCATATGTATCTGACATACATAATGTGTGTCTAGGTACAGGTCCAGACTGTAATTCTGTAAGGAATTTCTTGCCATTTTGGAGCTAATACCAAACACAAAATTCCTGCAATCTCAAGGAATTCCTTCGCTCAAATGTTATTTACTCTTCTTCCCTTGTTTATTTATTATCAGGCTTTAGAGCACAGAAAGTTTGAAGTCATAAATGATTTTCTGTTCTGAGTTATTGTATTTTTATCGCTGATTGATTGAACATTCTCTAATTTCTAGGATGGGACAGTTCAGTTCTCAGTGGGAACAAACCTGATTTTCTATGGATACTCAGCAATATTCAAGAGTTGAGGGGAAAAATACAGAAAAGCTGGTTGAAATTCAGGAAATTAGCAAAATAAATGAGCTGACTGAGAGAATGAAAACGATGCAGAGGAGGGAACAAGTTGCAGCGCAGATGCAAAAACCAAACCAATGGAGCACCTACAAGTTTCCTTCAAGTCTTCTCTCCTGCCCTCAGCAACCCATAAAAGCTCTTTCTGGGTATGTGTTTCAGGCTCACCAGCATCAACCAAGGATTAATTCCTGCAGTAATGCCTTTGACACCAGGTGCTGCCTCTGGGACCAGCTCCAGTGCAGCAACCCTTGTGAGCTGAGAAGCCTTCAGAACATGCTTGGGATCAGAAGGCTCTTTGAAAACTCAGTTTGTGTCTCATCCGGGGAACTGTTCGTGGCAGGACGCTGCTTCCCCTTCACCATTCGGTTTAGAACCAGATTTTTCTGAAGCTGCTGTCCCTGCTGAGCCGAAATGCAGAACACAGATTCATGGCTAAGGTTATGGTGCTGAGAAAGGCTGAGCACCTGTGTCTCTGGCTGAGCTCAGGGCTGGGTGCCAGGCTGGGGGATCTCCCCCGTATATAGTAGTCTCTAACATCTCCTGTCTCTTCAGCTGTTACTCTAAAGGGCCACTTGAATTGCAGCAAGAACTGAGGCATCTTTCCAGCATGGCCATGGAGTCGAGCAAGACTTTGGGCTGGGAGCAAAGTGCCTTTGGAGGCAATTCACAGCCACTTGGCATTGCCATAGTTTCTGCCACCACCGTGAACAAGTCCACCTTGCTCAGCTTCCAACTTCCCCACAGATGACATCGAGCAGAGAAGCTCCTGCTCTAGATCCATGCTGTGCCTCAGCTGGCACTGAACATGCCTTACAAGCCACTCTGCAAGTGAGGAACGTCTCTCCTGTCAATCTCCTCCATTTCCACCAGGAGAAAGCCTCACCACCCTCAGAAATACTCTGCTTGCTGAAGACCCTTCTGTAAAACTGCCACATTATTCATTCTGTTAAACATTTGCTCACTTTCAATAAAATTCCTCTGCTTAATAGTATCAGATGTCTGGTGTTCCTTTGTCTATGCTAAATGATTCTGGGATTGTTGCAAAACACTGAGCAGAGCAGTAATGCCAAAAATTGAATTTTTACACAGCTTCTCTGACAGAACACTTGGCTTCAGATTCCCAGTGACACCAACCCTCCATGCCCCTCTGCTCTGACCATGCCACTGCCTAGGTGGGGAGGTTGAGCCTGAGGACACACTGTGCCAGAAAAGCCAAGACTGAGCAAAGATCCTCACAGAGCTGAGCAAGTCTGGGAAGGTGGGTAAGGAAGGAACAGCTACAGCACAGAGGTTGCTGCAGGACAAAGATGCACACACAACCCGCTGCCAAATCTCTCAGGAACATCAATATCCTGAAGCAGCCTGATAGGATCAGGTTGGTGCAGCAGGACAAGCATGAGGAGGAGTGGAGGGAACACACACAGACATGCCCACACATGGAGAGGCCAATTACATGTTGCAGTGTCATGTTTAATGAGGAAGAAGCAGATGATACAGAGGGAGGATTACACAGTACACATTACAAGTTGCCCACAATCTGCTGTTGGATGCAAAGTGGCTCTTGCCATGGCTGATGTTGCTTCCCCTGTCACTGCCCTGTGGTGATGCTCAGCCCTGATCATACAGCACAGCAACAGAGCACAGGCTGGTTGACTCCACAGCCATTTTTATGCACCAGTAGCCATAGAAAGAGTCTACAAAGGGTCTGAAAGTGGATGTCACACCAGATTCCTTTACATCACCACAATCAAAGAATGGTTTGAGTTGGAAGGGACCTTAAAGATCATCTTGTTCTACTCCCCCTGCCATGGACAGGGACACCTTCCACCAGCCCAGGTTGCTCCAAGCCCCATCCAACCTGGCCTGGAACACTCCCAGGGATGGAGAAGACACAGCTTCTCTGGGCAACCTGTGTCAGTGTCTGACCACCCTTACAGGGAGGAATTTCTTCCATATATCATAGCTAATCCTACTCTCTGTCAGTGTGAAACCACAAAAATCCCTACAAGATCCCAAGGAATTAGCAATATAGTCCATAGCATCGAGAGCAGAGTGCCTGGAAAGATAAGAAGGATTTAGAAAGAGAAAATTGTGAAGAGTAATCTGAGAAAGATGACAAGGAATTTTTCAGGTGTTCACAGCACCTTCAGATGCATTTATTGACAGCCTCAATGCTCAACTGTTCCTAAATGCTGTGCCCTGGAGCTCAGCCATGTATCTACACCCAGCTGATCATCTCCTTTCAGCAGTGACTCCCTCTGGGTTTAGCATGGTCCACAGCTCCCAACTGGGTATCCTCGTCCCCATCTGGCCCCACCATAAACGTGGGAACCCCCAGGAGTACGGGCAGCACTGAAACCAGTCCCAACTTCAGGGACTCCTGCGGATCCCACGACGCTTTGCTGCGGGAAGGTGCTGAGGATTGGTCCAGGGAAGGTCACAACCACCGGCGGAGGGTAGATCACCACCTTGGAGTCAGGACACTGCCGGACACAGGGCTCGTTGCAGCTGTCAGCAATGGGCTGGGGCACAGCCACCCCACATGGGGAGGCACTGCCATCAGTGCATGGGCTCAGAGAGTGCACCATTGTTCAGGGGTGGTTGATCTGAAGGGCAAAGCAATAGTAGAAAAGTGAGGCGCAAATTCTTCTCAGTCTCACAATCAAACATGATCATAAAAGGCTACGAAGAGGCTCGAAGGAAAGGCAGAATTTGCAGAGCTCAGTTCCTATAAATCTTGTGTGGAACACAATAACATCTGGAAGTAGTTTTCATGAACTATTAGATGTCATCCAGATCTGCATCTCTCAAAGCCAATAGCTGAGCTGACACAAATGTGCTCCTTTACAGAATCACGCAATCATCGAGGTTGGAAAAGACCTCCAAGACCATCAGGTCCAACCTTTGGCTGATCACCACCTTGTCAAGGACAATGGCACTAAGTGCCACATCCAACTGTTTCCATCAAGAAAACTTCAGACTGATATCAGAAGGTTGCACATGATTCATCCTGGCTTAAATCTACCCAGAAAGGCTTAGTTAGAAGAGGAATTCGGGTGAAACTTACCGACAGCACAAGAGAAGTAAGACAAGAGAACTGATCGTAGAAGATCTGATGTTGAGCACTTTTATACTTGCCCTTAGACTGCCCAGAACATGAATCACCCACGTGCAGAACATCCTAATCAATTACTAAACACATTTCTTTCAAGATCCAACTTAGCTAATGAATGTCAATTGTTGTAAATAAATCACCCATTGTAATTAGTGGTTTGTCCTCCTACCCTGCATGACCTGTCCTTTACTGCCTTCCCAACTCAGCTATTTCAAACCTTTATATCAAGGGGATTCTTGGCCTCTGCATCTCCAAGACCAAATGTTTATAAGGTTCACATTTGATGTCTTCCACGAATGGACTCATTCCTGGGCCACGTGGTAACCAGTCATTTTCCTGGATGAAAACGTACTTGAACCAGCTCAGAAAAAGCTGAAAAACTGAGAGATAACCTCCATTCTGGGTTCTGTGGTGAAGTTAGAGTAATATAAAGTTGGGCAAAGCTCTGCACACTGCAGAAATCCTGAATTTTATAGACCCAAATAAGTCAATGAGCTTGTCCAGCTCAGCATTGAGTTGGAGTTTCTTTAACAGGTTTTGACAACAAAAAAGGAAAGAAGGGTAAGACTTCTCTATGAAATTAAATGCCTCATATTTTTGAAGCCATGAATAATGCCCTGATTAGGGGAATGGCAAAAAGGCAATAAATAGGGTGTGACTGAGGCAAGACCTTGTCAGGCATTTTTTCCAGCGAGTCGCTTCTCCAATAAAAGGACACCCAAAGCCTTTGTAACAATAACTCACGTTGCACGTGAAGAACAACGAGTGGAAGATGCGTCTTCAAGTCCCAATTGTTGATGAATTGCAACTTCCAGTGTGGGGTTCTCATCCTGTTAAACACGGGTATGAGGAGGAGGCTCTGACACCCAGAAGTCAAGTCAGCAACAGATGCCAAGGATGGCAACGGTGTGTGCTGTGCAGACACTCCCACGGGCAGGGGCAACTGCCACGAGACCAGAGCTCTATCCTGGTCTTGGACATTTGGGGGATTGGGACTAGATGACCTGTAAGGTCCATTCCAACCCCTAAATTCTATGATTCTATGATTTCAGGGATGGAGCAGCCGCAACTAATGGTTGAAGAGCAAGATACTTCATCTCAACTGAGATTTAGCAGCAATTTACCCCCAAAATAATTCCCAAAAAACCATCAGAATTAAATCCCTAATTAGTAGTTTTATCCAGCTGAAGAGAAGCTAAATGTTAAATCTTATTTTAGAGGTTTGCTAATAACTCTGCCTTGAGAAGCAAAGATATTTAATCCCACGTGAGTGGAGCCTACACTGCTGGGATTTGTCCTGTGCTGCTCACTCCTTGGGGTTAACGACACTGCAGGGTGGATTTATCTGAACACAAAGACTAACACTGACAACAATAATCATGCCAAGGCTTTCTGAAAGCATTTACAAAGCTCATCATAAAAGCTCATTAGTGCTCTCACAACTGGTGTTGTCACATGTATCATCTTTAACAAGAGCATTACAAGTGCCACCTCGAACGCCACCAGAGATGACAAGGAAATAAAAGTGGTGAGTCAACTGGTGAACCACAGCCAAAACTCAGCACCTAAGGAAGCACCACAACCAAACAGTGCATATGTTGGCAAAATGGACCGGTTAGAACAAGCTGAACAATCAAATTGCAGCACCTAAAAACTACAGACACAAACCACAAAAATCAGCATCTTTGCATCCAAGGGCCAAGTGAGAGCTCCTCACAGGAGGATGGAGCTGAAGACACCCATTGGAGCAAACTGTTCCAAAAAGCAGAGATACACCAACCAATCCAGTCCTGAGACCATTGAAACACCAGAGCAAATAGAATTCCAGGGGAAGAGTCCAACCCTGACCTGGCTCAACCATAGCCATATTTACTAGTTATGTGAAGTAAACTACTACAGCCAACTTTTCTCTAAAGAGATGCTCTGAGCGGGAAAGAGAAGAAGAGTAAAAGCTTTGGCATGAGCTGTATCAGTGCCTGTTCTCACCTCACCCCTGAGCTTTGCACCACTGATAGACAAAGCCACTCCTCCCAGGTGCTGTGCTCTCACAGACACATGTTTACCTGCACATTAAACAAGAATAGTGCTGACAGCACCTTCCTAACGAGACCTCTGAAATCTCCTCACAAATGCTCATTAGTGTTTTACATGAGCGAAGCTGTCCCAGCCCAACTCCATTAGCAGGAACGCTGTGCACGGCCAATTTAAAGGCTGCGTCGCAAGACATCAAAGGCTGCTAATTACCTCACGTGCCAGGAGCAGTTTCCCAGCTGAGGGACACACAAGGCACACGTACAGCAGCACCAGCACAGGCAAAGCTGAGCTCGGGGTGATCAGGGATAAGGTAGTGGGGTCATTCGAAGAACACTCCCTACTTTGCTAGCTCTGGGGTGGAATATTTCACCAGGGCAGGTAGTGGCAGGACACAGGGGTTGCTGCTGGCAGAGAGGAGGTTTAGATGGGATATATGGAAGAAATCCCTCCCTGTGAATGGGATGCACTGGCACAGGTTGCCTTGAGAAGTTGTGGCTGCCTGGAGAAGGCACTGCCCTCATGGGCAGCTTTTAAATCCTTGGAAAAGTCATGATTCCCCAGCAAGTTAGCTGTGCCAGTTTCCAGGCAGGATTTGGTTTGTCACAGGACACAGCTCTGAGAGGTTTTTAAGCCCTACCAAAAGGCAGGGTTGGTGCCTTTATTGCACACCTTCCCTGGCCTCATTTCCAGCCATAAAACCCAATCAAACACAAAGCCTAATAAAATCAGGGAATGACTCTTCATTGGGAATTTGAGGAGCACAGGATCTGTCACACAATGAGGAGCTGAGTGTCATGTTTGGGTACATCTCTCCAGCCTCCCTTGGCAAAGCCACACTCCTCAGAGCCCCCAGCTGCCTATCTGCAGGGGGATGGAGGGAGAAGCATCCTTTCCCACCCCCCTGCTGCTTCCTGACTGTCAGTCGGCTAAAAGCAGCTTTGAGAGGAGAGGGATAGATTTCTTTATGTAACTAATGAGGTCAATGGAACAAAGGCAGCTTTTCCCTCTCCCATAAAGCTTTCAGATGGAAAGAACCCTCAGGGCGAGAGGTGTTTTTCAAGGTATTTGGGGATAACAATGTATTAACGAGCACAAGTGAGTAAAATAATTACAGCCAGTGAAAAAGTGGCATATGAACAAATTCCCTCCTGTAGCTAATTAGGATTTGATACACAGCAGCTCAGGTTTTCCATGAAGTCTGAAGGACTATAAAAACGCCATATAAAAACCCCCATTTCCAAGCTCTCAATCCAGTTCTTACTACTGCACTGTGAGCTCGGTAAGTTATTTGCCTATTTCTATTTCTAACTAGGAAAATAACTTTTGGTTGGTACTTTGAACTGGAAACTGGATCCTGGGAAATGCTCTGGCACTGGGAATGAAGAGGGTTGTTTCTTTCAAAGCTTCTTTCTGGGGTGTGTGGCTTGGTTGGTTGGGTTTCTAATGCAGAGACAGATAGAGGCTTTTAAAGCTGAGCTCGAGATGTACAGAACCTCACCCAATCTGGGATATGATGTTCCCACTTTGATCTGGCCACTTAGGCACCCATATCTTTAATTTGCTTTCTAAAACTAAATTCTAGATTGCCCCTGTGTTTGAGGTCACTTATTTCAATAGTTCAAGTAGTTATTTCTGTCAGCAGCCAAACTTTACCATCCAAATCAGAGACTGGGGTGGCTTACTTGGAATTTCCATCTGGGAAAACTTAGCTTCTGCCTGTCTGGAACCTGCTGAGGTCCCACCTTGCATCCTGGGGTCAGTTTTGGGGCTCCCACTGCAAAACAGACATTGAGGGGATGGAGCATGTCCAGAGATGTGGATGGAGCTGGGGAAGGGGATGGAGAGTCAGTTCTATGAGGAGAAGCTGGGAGGGCTCAGCCTGGAGAAAAGGAGGCTCAGGGGGAACCTTCTCACTCTCTACAACTCCCTGACAGGAGCTTGTAACCAGGTGAGGGTCAGGCTCTTTTCTGTGAAGAAATTCCTCCTGATGTCCAACCTGAGCCTTCCCAGGCACAGCTTGAGGCTGTTTCCTCTTGTTCTGCTCCCTGGGAGCAGAGCCTGACCCCACCTGGCTGCACCTCTTGCCAGGGACTTGGAGAGAGCCAGAAGGTTCCCCCTGAACCTCCTTTTCTCCAGGCTTTTTTTTTGGAGAAAACCTAATGCCACCTCACCCTGCCAATTACAGAGATAACAATCTTACTTCTGCAATCCTAATTAGCATAAAGAAGGGCAATGCTTTCCTTGACTTTACCTAGAGCCAGCAGAAAGCAAGTCCAGTTTCAGGAGAAGCATCTGGAAAACAAATAAACGATAGTTCTTGCCATGAGGAACTGAGAACCTCAGCACTAATCACAGATGTGCTGAAGCATACAGGTCACGTCACAGCTGTGCCTGAAACTCTCCTTCTTCCAAGGCTAATAACTACCTGCTCCATGCAAC